TCGAAAACACACAGCACATGATAATATCTTCATTTGTGTAAAGATTCATTTGAGTCATGTAGACACAATGTGCTCATCAATATTGGAAATGTCATCATATCATTTAATGTTTAATGTTTTCCAACCTACAAGGAGGAGAACTTTTATTATTCCATCAACTAAAGGGTGTCAATGGACAATGTGATGATCTTGCGAATGGTGAGATTGGCTATGAGTGGTTGCATGTTCACATTGGTGTGTATGATCACGAGAAGAATAATATTCTTCTTCTTTGATAAGGGCATGATTGGATGCATTTTGTGGTTGTTGTTGTAATATTTGATTTGTAATGGTTTCATTCTCAATGTGTAATGTCTAGAGATCAACTTCATGCTGGTGACAAATCATTTCTATTACTTTAACATTTTGTTGTCATATAGCTTCAATTTGGTATACCAATCTCCTCCATGTTGCACGATCTTCCATGGTTGATGTTCTTGATTTATTGCTCCTGTAACACACGTAGTATGACTTTGAGTTGAATCCATAGGCAATCAAAGGAAATTTACTTGGACCCCACGGTTGGCGCCAAAAAGTTCTTACTAGAATAGACATGGATGAAATGGTTATTCTATAAGATCTCCTTATTTACTCGTCTTTGGATGTTGGATCAAATTGTCCTCAATCTTCATCTAAAGCACGTTGGAGGTGCATGTAAATAAGACTCTGATGATCAAGTTTGCCTATCTAGTCAATATTCTTATATGTTATATTATACATACCTTTACATTAATTAATCGTACTTGTCCATTTTCATCAGTTCTATAACTATCACGATTACAATATGAGAAACCAATTTGAATTGGACATCGAAGTTTTCAAGTTGGTATACGATTAGTATGATCGAGTTCATATATCGGCTTGATTAACATCAAGTTAGAGTTTGGTATATTAGCTTAGTAATATGAATATATGATTGAGTTTACATCATCGACTAGGTTAATACACATGCATTAAGATTGAGATTATATCAAATAATTTAATAGTAAACTTGTTAAATTCATATTCAATAAAAAAAAATTAAACAACTTTGGGGTTCATTACTTACTTTAAGAGGATTCATTTCTTTTATAAAATATATTTTAAAGATATTTGATATTAATAAATTTACAAAATTAGTACAAGCCATTCATTCATGGTGTTTTTTTTGGTACCTTTTGTACATTAATAGATTTAAAGTACAGTAATTATAAGGACAAGAAATATTAAAAAAAAATTATAAAATATATTTTAAAGATATTTGATATTAATAAATTTACAAAATTAGTACAAGCCATTCATTCATGTTGGTTTTTTTGGTACCTTTTATACATTAATGGATTTAAAGTACAGTAATTATAGAGACAGGAATAATTTTAAAAAAAGAAAGATGTAGTACGTGATATGATTAAAAACATAGAAAGAAACAAAAAAGAAATATACATTCATAATTACTTTAAAGAGTCGTTTGTTTCAAGGCATGATATTATATTTTTGGGAATCATATTCCTAGGAATAATATAACCCGGAAGCCCGACCGAGCAAGCAAGCTTGGCCCGAAGATAATAACATCGGAAATTAAGTCACATTAATCTTTAATGGTCACGTCATTCATCAACTAAAAATACGATCTTGCCATCGCGCCGCAATCACAATAAAATCCTAAGATTGCTAATGCGCCGAAATGGAGAAATAACCCTAAAATCATCAAGGTACGCCTACTATATATACGAGGCATTTACACTATCAAAAACTAACTTAAGCTAGAGCTGTTAAAGTGGGTTCAACCCGGTGAGTCAACCTGGCCCACCACGGGTTTGAGCCGAGTTAGGCCAAAAAAATTAAAAATTTTGGTACGAGCCAATTTTGAACCCAGCTCACTAACAACTCGGCTCACCCGGGTTGAACCTGTGGTGAGTCGGGCTGACCCACCAACTCGTAATAAAAAAAATAGTTATTGGGCTAATGCAGCCCATTAGGGTTTCATTTGAACTTCAGAAATCACTTCAGAGTTCAGACCCTCTCACTCTCACACCTTCAAACACACCCTCTCACTCTCACACCGCACTGCTTCGCACCAGCCACCACACTGCATAGCTGCCATCGCGCGCACTGCGAGCCATCGCGCGCACCGTTAGCTGTCGCACGCACCATGAGGCACCGCAAGCCACCGTGCACAAATCGGACAGGTATATTCTGCATCATTTTTTTAAAATTAAGTAAGCCAACTCGTTTAACCCACCAACCCGTGGTGGGCGGGATCGGGTTCAATTTTTTTGAGCTCACTAATAAATGAGCCAGGTTGAATTGGCCCACCAAATGATCAACCCGTGGTGGACCAGGTCAGGCCGGGCTGAGTTACCTGTTTTGACAGCTTTAACTTAAGTATCAGAGTCTCTTTTACAGGTACCACCCTCACCTCGAAGTGACCAACATACACTAGTGGAAAATTAGGATATTACGTCACCCATTTTACGTCGGAAATACAAACACCCGATGTAATAAAAACGCGGTGGCATGTTTCGTAATTTTTATGACTTTTTTACGTCGGACCTTAAAGGGACCGACGTAAACAACCCACTGTCTGCTTAAAAGAAGGTGTGCGCGCATGGTTAGATTTCAAAAATTTCTCTCTCCCGCGCGTTGTGCACCTTCTTCTGCACCTCATCCCTCCGAAGCCTCCTCAAGTTTCTTCTTCTGTTTTTCTTCTTCGGAGGTTTCTTCTTCACGTTGGTTTCTTCTTCGCGTTGGTTCCATACATCCATCTGTTTTTCTATGAGGTAAGTTGTTTCTGTTTAGCTAAGGGATTGGTGGAACTTATTTTTAGAGTGATTATTTGAGGTTATGTTTATGACCAATTTCAAGATTTTTTTTGTAATCAACAGAATCAAGCTCAGATAAAAGAGGAGAAGATGAAGAGTGACTGTCAGCAAGTAGCATAGACATCCACGGATCCAACTGGGTTAGGCCGACAATTTGTGTCGAAACTTGGGCTCTAAGAAGAAGATATAGGAGATGAAAGGAGCTCTGCGCTAAAACAGTTAAAAGATGAAGTCCGGATTTGGAGAACCTGTTCCTGGGTTTATCAAGAAGAACGGGCCGTTCTGCAAGCAGAACAGGCCATTCTGCTTGTACTCGTTTTTCTTTTTCTTTTTTTTTTTAATTTTTATGACTTTTTTACGTCGGACCGTGGCATGTCCGACGTAAATTTACGTCGGTTTTCGCGCCCCAACGTAAAGTTACGTCTCCCGCTTCTACGTCGGAAGCTTTTCTACGTAAAAACCCCTAAAATAGACGACGTAAAATGTGTATTGTGTACTAGTGGTACGAAGCAAATGAGACTCACCAATCTCACCAGAGAGGTCGTCATCGAACCAATCTCAGGTAAGAACACCAAGAAATATAAGAAAAGATGTTTGATTCATTTTAATATTTCTTGAAATATTTTCTGAAATTTAAAATGATTTAAATAAAAATAGAAGTTACATGATTATAGAAAATAACTTCTAATATTTTAATAGAAATATCATTTATATCCACCCTTTCACCATAAAAATAAAATTTCCTTACTCATGAAAATATGACTTTTCCAAAAATAAAAAATACCCAAAATTATTATTACATAACCTTCTAACAAACGTGAAAATAAACATCTTCACCTTCATATTCCCGGAAATAGCTAAAGATAATATGAAACAAACGCATCCTAAGAAATATCTGTTCTTCTTACCGGAGTTAGTTTGAAGTTTGAAATTTGGACTTGATGAAGGAGAAATTAATCAGTGATTGGAATTTGGAAAGGGACAGTGCCGCATAGCATAGTCGGATAGAGGCGAGGCATCGCACGCCCACCCCTAGCTGAAGATAATTTCTCAAATATTATACACTTTGACATATAACACGTAAGATTTTGGAGCAGATCGAGGAGTGCATATATCATTCACATGTTAGCTGAGAAACGTTACCATTCGACAATAAATAAATAAAAATATCAATACGAATTTGTTTTTCTACTACGTTTCATCTAAAAGAGGGAAAGTGTTTTCACGTGAGAAACGAAAAATATTTGACAAATAATATTCACCTGATTCTGTGTGGTTTTTTTCTTCTTCTATTTTTCAAAAATAAAAATAAGAAAATTTTAATTTTAAGAAATCGATATTAAAGAAGTTAACAATAATTTCCGTATCTTGTTCAACCAAATTGAGATAGGCTTTAATCGGGTAGGATCATTATAAAATAACGTATGTGTGTACATTAATGGTTAAAACAATAAGTTAAAAAATGAAAAAGAAAAAAAAGGACGAAAATTATGTATAAGATCACATCATTTATACGTTATTTGTTGAAATGTTTACGCAATACGCGCTATGCAGTATGAAGCGGTTTTTCTGGTTTTTGAAGGAAATGTGTTTCACAAGAATAATAAGGGGAAAAGAAGAGGAAAGTATTATTGAAAACCAAAGATAAAATTGAAGAGGTGGCTGAGGCACTAATCTTAGGATGTGTATCAAAATCAAGTATCCTAAACAACAACTTTTGTCATGACCCTGACTAGTGACAACCTCACTTTGAGATAGAACCCCACTGTTCTCCGCCTATCTCGCATATTCTTTTAAGAAAAGAATAATAAGATAGAAAAGATTTGTGGGGTGTCATGGGCAACTGCTGCTTTTGGTGCTCAATTCTTCCTTATCTCTATATCCACTAGTAAGTACTGTTCCACAGCTCAAACATTAGTCTTTGTTTGTTTGTTCAAATTAATGCGGCTTTGTTGGGCCACTGCTGTTCCTATCTTTATCTCTTCACCCCTGGCCCTTGGCCCTTTTCACACTGCATACCTTGCTAGCTCTTATTTTGACTAATTAATCATCAACAAAACACACATATATGCTTCACACACACAACCCTCGAGTCCACCCTAATTAGCCAACATCGATGCATTAAACAACTTTCAAATAAATAACCAGAACATAGAAAGAAAATCTGAAACAACGAAACACGGTTAATTTGATTGGACTGTGTCTAGCCCAGCCAATGGATATATATATATCTGATATTTTGTTACAAATTGCTACAACACACCGACCTGAGAAAAGACCACATGAGATATAATCTAGTAGCTACCAGTCTATGAGTACTCCAGCATACAACAACAACAAGTTCTAAAGTGATCAGTTTCTTCATGAGGTGCGCAAGAGCGACTAATAATATATATTATGCCCCTTAATTTGAATTACTCACCTCATAAAAAAGTTAGCCTCATCTGATGAGGTGTGTGTATTTGTTTGTTCCTACCCGTTGTGATAATTAATATAAATAAACTGGAAGAAAATATTTACTGAGAAGGATGATATATGATAAATTAATATAAAAGTTTTGAAGCAACAGACGATTGGGTGGATGGGTGGATGAATATTTTTGTTGGCTTAGCCCTTGAAAATATGTGGAGATTTATTTAAGGCGCTAACCTTAATTTGGGTCTCTGGAATCTGGAAATATGTTATAGGGTTGGATATTAATCTTCAGGTTTTGGGAACTCGTTCAAGTCTGGTTTTTCGGAAGTGATGTGGCTGGAAGCGGAGTGGGAGGAGGAGGACTGAAGCGCGGTTTGGAGGGCGTCGACTCTGGCGCCGACTTGGGTGGCTTTCTTGCGTATTGAGTCGGCGGACATGTTGCCTTGTTGGGTGGAAACGTCGTCGTCTTGGGAGAGCAGTTCGGGGAAGTTGAGGCGAGCGGAAGGGCCTCTGAGGTAGAAGACGGCGGTGTCGTAGGCGCGTGCGGCGGCGACGGGGGTGGCGTAGGAGCCCAACCATATCCTGGACCTCTTGTTGGGTTCTCTTATCTCCGCCACCCACTTCCCCCACTTCCTCATCCTTATTCCTCTGTATGGCTTCTCTTGCTGCTTCCGTTTCTCGCTTTTCCTCGTGATCGTCGAATTCGAGGAACAACAATCTCCTAATCCTTCTTCCTTCATACCTACCTACCTATCTCTATCTATCTATGTGTTTCTCACCATCTATCTTTCTTCAAATCATGTATTTGTATTTATATATATATATATATATATATATAATATATAGATATATATATATATCTATATATATATATTTGTATGATGGAAGGCAAAGGCTTTGTGATTGTGTTCATACCCTGAGCCTGAGGACACTGGAAAGTATGTTGCTGTTGTATTGGTTTCTATTTATAAGGAAATTGTTTGTGGGCGATGGGAATGAATATTATTATTAATATTGATATTATTATTATTATTATTATTATTATTATTATTATTGGTTTCGGGTGGAAGCGAAGGGAATGAGTTTCTTTTGTTTTCCCACTTGGCTGCTAGTCTGTCGTCTGGTACGGCCGCCACGTTGAGCTTTCTTTAAGATAAATCCAAAGGTGGCCGACACAATCCATCACACACACACACACCTATCTTAATCTCTCTCCTCTCCTCTCGGTTTCAAAACTCTTTCTTGTTCCTATTTTATACACATTTCACGTATCCTTCTGTGCCCACTACCACCGCCGACGTGGACGGGGTGCGCCTCTATGTACCTTCATGGCAATTTAACCCAGTTTCGTAAATATCCCTCCAAATTTACTTCAATTTAGATGAGAAAAATTTGTGCCTCCCACTCAATAATATAATTAAAAAAGTATTTATATATAAATTTAAATTTAAAATTTTTATATATAAAAAATTTATATTATCTTATTTTTATTATTTTTCTTTTTATATTTTTTTTATATTTATTATAAATTAAAAAAAAGGTTCAAGAGCAAGGATGAGGACGAAGACAGGGACAAGCCGGGAAAACCCGAACCCCGTCGAGAATGAGGATGGGTATCTAAATTTTACCTCCAACGAATATCAAGAACAAGGGCGAGGGCGATTTAAATCTCGGGGACGAGAGCGGAGAACATAAAACCTACTCCTCTCCTGCCCCGTTGTCATGCCTATCCTTCACGCCCAATACATAACATCTTTATCTACCACTAATTTCATAACTGTCATATTGTATAAGTAATGATAAATTATTATTTTACAAAACACTCTTTTAAAGTTCTGAAAGATTTAAATTCACTTTATTAAAGTTTATCATATTGATTATTGATTATTATTGGGTTTATGAAATTACCTACTATCAAATTATTATTGGATTAATTGTAGATGTTTCGCATATTTTATGTTTGACATATCCGATCTTCTATGTGAAAAATTGTGTTGTATATCTCACATCAACCAGTGATAAGATTAACAAAATATATATATAAATGAGTTTATGCCTAGTTATAAATTAGTATGATCAAATTAATGTGTACAAGTGAAGAGACAATCTTCACCTTATAGGCTAATTTTTTAAGGTTGAGTTAAATTCATAATCCACTTCTGTAAGATGATATTATAACTTATCCTAACTAATTATTATTGATTATTGTTAAGCTTGGATCACTTCACCTAACACAGTCTAGTCCAATCAATTAAAGACTCTTAGAAAAAACAACATTGACATTACATCAAAATAAGATATTAAGAAAAAATTAGTACTCGATCCCTAATAGATAAATTCAATGATGAGAATTCAAATTTAGGAATTAATAAATTCTTCATATTGTTATCAGATCATCTACAAATATTTTCAACATGAATGGTGAGAGATGCGTTAAAAATCTCATATAAACCAATATTTATGTTTGTAAAGTTGAGTTAGAATTCGATCTACTTTTTCAAAACTTATCTTTTATTCATATACCATTTCTATTTTTTAATTAATACTTATATATTCTAACCAATTAAATATATATATATTACACTATTTTTCTCCCCAAATTAATAATCATCCTTCTCCTAATTAATTAGAGTATATATTTAATGCATTTTATCAAATTAAAAGAATATACTTTAATTATGAGTATTTTAATTTAAAAAAAATACTTCATCTAATTCTTCTTATAAGACATTTTTAATCAAATTAGACGAACCGATGTAAATAGTTATATTAATTAATTTTATTAAGTTTATAAAATAAAATTATTATTTATCAATTTTACTCTTTTTATTTATTATTTTATAAAAGATAAAAATATTATTTTATATCAAAGTATATACACCAATACCCAAAAATAATAATAAATATCAATTAGAGAAAATTTATGAAATGAGAAAAAAAATACACGGAATTCTCACAATTTTTAATATGCATAAAAAAAGTTAATTTAATATTTTTAAAAAATTATAAGATATCTTATAAAATATCAAAAAATTTATATACTAATAATAATGAGTAAATATTATGAATAGTGTTTATATATTTGCTTGGGAATTGGGAAAGGGGTGGCATCGTTGCTACTTGCTAGACAGTTGACTGCGCAGAGAATTAAGAATTAAGAATTATTTTGTGTACCATAAGAATTTTTTTAAATTTGGTTGTGATTTTAAAAATTGTAAACATTGAAAACGAGAAGATCACTTTTACTTTGAAATTATTTTAGTTCATCAATATGGCGGGTAAATCTTATTAATTTTTGAATAATTTTAAAATTCATGAATAAAAGTGTTAAATACATTTTATTTTTAAAATATGCATTTAATACCAATACTGGTTGACACACATGATAATAACTTGTGTTTAATATTTCTTAACTAAGTTATCAAAAATCTGAATTCTAAACTTGAATATAAAATATATTATGTTAGGAATCGAATATCTCCTTCATGTGTATTCAAAATCCAAAATTAGTAACTACTTTTGAAGTTAGATAGTCTATACTAATATCATGATTAGAAAAAGGAAAAAAAAGATACATTTAATTTAAAATGCACTAACAATATACATTTTTCTTAGAAATTTGTCTAATTATAAATATTTATAAATAAAAAAGTATTTAATTTCTAATAATATTTTAAAATGTTCATATTTAAAATTATTTTTTTTATATTAATTTACAGCATAATATATAAAAATATTTAATCAATATTAGAAGTGTTATTTAACTTCATTCTTATTTATAACTCCTAATTTAGAACAATTATTTATTCTTTTATATAAGACTCAATTCATATGATATCACTTTCATATACTCCTTTAATTAGTTTTAGACTAAAATATTCTTAATTAAAGTGTATTATATTAATTTGATCAAATGCATTAATTATAAACTCTTTAAAAAGCATACACTTTAATTAATTAGAAGAAAAATGAATATTAATTAAGAGATAGAAATAATATAAGGGTAGTCTTAGAAAAGAAATATATATATATATATATCTGTGTTTGTGTGTGTGTGTGACACTTTAATTAATTAGAAGAAAGATGAATATTAATTAAGAGATATAAATAATATAAGGGTAGTCTTAGAAAAGAAATATATATATCTGTGTTTGTGTGTGTTCGCGTGTGTGTGCGTGCGCGCGTGCGTGTGTGTGTCTGAAAAATTTATTGCTATCAACAAAATTAATTATTTTTCTTAATCTTAGTAAATTAGACAATTACTCCCTCTATTTTTTATTCATAGTCGATTTGTCAGAATTTGTCATTTTTTTTTCATTGTCATTTTACTAAAATCAATGACTTATTAATTTTTTTTCCTCATTTTTACCCTTGATAATTAATGTATGCATAACAATGTGCCTATTTATTTCTAATGTCTACCTATTTTTTCTCCAACCACTTATGTGAAGTTAATGTTGCATTTAAGAGGGCAATATGTTTTCAACGAAATACTATAAAAAAATAGAGGGTAGAATAGGAAAGTAAGTAATAAATATTTTTGAAAACTAAAATATCAATAATTTCTTTAAGTCTTGTGCAAAATCTTAAACGACTATGAATAAAAAACGGAGAGAGTACATCTTATATATAAGAATCAAAATAATCAATAACCATCAAATAAGTGATCAATTTGTACAAATTTATTCTAATATAATTAATGATCTTAAATTTAAGTTATAAATATGTAATTATATTAAATATTTACAAAAATTGTTATCACTGTAACGACCCGGCTGGTCACTACACGCGGCACAGCACACTAGAAACACCGCACAGAAAAGAACACGTGTATACATATAGGGTCTAGAATATATACATATACATGATCCAATCTTAACAGAGTTAAAGTGTACAAAAATACAATCAAGTGCTACTACCCCAAGTAGCTCAACAACAAAACAATCACAAAAGAGCTCAGCTCCGCCGGTCCGCTAAAGACTCACCACTAGTCACCCACCTATCCCTGCTCTGCTCCGATACATAGTATGATCATTTCAGTCCAAACATTATGGAAAACAACAAAGGGTAAGCTAGTGTAAATAAAATCAACATACATATATACATATATGAATAATAGAAAACAGCTACAACTTATACCATTCACAGCATTCAACAACATCAGCACCGCAATACAGCAATAATCAGCACTGCTTAGCAATAATAACAGCACCACTTAAGTGCTATGACAGCACCGCTTAACGGCAATAACAACACCACAATAGTGGTTAAAACAGCACCGACATAGCGCTAGAACAGCACCACCATAGTGGCCATACTCAGCATACAACTCAACAATTCACAGCACAACATAATACATCAGCATACAGCACAGTCAAATATCATTCAACACAGCCTACTACTCATAACTTAGCTAAAGCACATCAATATTATAAATCAGCATTTCGAAATCATCTATAACAGCCCAGCTCAGCACAGCAATATACCACTAATACAGCTACACATTATTTTCTCAGCACTATCACCTAGTCATCACAACATATTCATCAAATACAACTTATTTCAGCATATAACAACATTGATTAACAATCTCAGCAAAATTCAACAGCTAACAGCATATATGTCATTATCTCCTTGCGCGCCCAGCGCACTCGAGGTCGCGCCCAACGCGGCTCAACCCGAGAGCACCAGGGGCCAGCGCGCCCAGCGCAAAAGTACTCGCGCCCAGCGTGACTCAACCCGAGAGTCCAAAGCTCTCATGCGCCTGGCGCAATTCAAATTGCGCCTAGCGCCTGTCAGGTAGAGACTCTAAGGAGTCTCGCGCACCCAGCGTGGGGAAGGCAGAGACCTACCAAGGTCTCGCGCCCGACGCAATTCGCATTGCGCCCAGCGCTCTCTTGGCAGAGACTCCTAAGGAGTCTCCGCGCCCAGCGGGTCCAAACGTGCGCCTAGCGCACACCAGAACA